ATGGATAAGGCAGCAACTGCAGCAGCAGCAGCAAGTGCAGCAGCAAGTGCAGCAGCAGCAGCAAGTGCAGCAGCAGCAGCAAGTGCAGCAGCAGCAGCAAGTGCAGCAGCAGCAGCAGCAAGTGCAGCAGCAGCAGCAAGCGCAGCAGCAGCAGCAAGTGCAGCAGCAGCAGCAAGTGCAGCAGCAGCAGCAAGTGCAGCAGCAGCAGCAAGTGCAGCAGCAGCAGCAACTGCAGCAGCAGCAGCAACTGCAGCAGCAGCAGAAACTGCAGCAGCAGCAGCAACTGCTGCAGCAGCAGTAACTGCAGCTCCCTTTGATGCTGTTAATCCTGCATAATGCACATGCATATGCAGTACTAATTACATTCCTGCATTTCCCATAAATATGCTAAATTCCTGTTGATATGCAAATTCCTTTGTCAATGCGCCCAGCTTATATATATGCTCTAAGCCCGTGTGCTGTTTCATTCAGACTCTGTCGCCTCGACGGACCTGGTTTTCACCTGAGGACGGCTGCTTGCGTTGTGGCCGAAACGTCGTGAGAATTGTTTTATTATGTTTTATTTTTATTATTTTATTACTTCCCTTCTACGTGACTTTACCGAAAGAACCAAGAAGATGAATCCCTGCAGTCACGAAAGCTTTAAATCGAAATTTGACTCCTTATTCTCACCTAACCGTGGGAATTGCAAAAGCCCACGCACCAACAAAAATGCCGGGCTGGATTTCAAACAAACACTGGATTTAGATTGAGAATACAATTCAGTCATTGGGGATATATACATATTTAATCGTACATTTTTCAAGATATGCTTCAAAGTTCTTTGTTAATCCGCTGCTGTATTAAGTCCCTCCCCGTGTAATTGGGTCCGAGCAGGTTCCAATATCGCTTGCCTCCTGGTTTTGGCTCACGACGGAAATTCTCAGCACTCCCGGGTTTAGGTTGCGCTCTTTTGGTGATCAGGCTTTAATTAGCGAGGCATCCAACTATGGAACGCCTTGCCACTTGAAATCGGGCAATTGGAGTCGGTAGATAGATTCAAGTCAGCTTTGAAAACCCCATCTCCTTAAACGGAGCCTTCCCCCTTGACTTTGGTCGGTTGCCCTGGTTCTGTTGTTTCCTGCTTTTTAAACATTGCACATTGGGATCATAATGGTGGAATGCGCATTATACATTTGAATTATTATTATTAATGTTTACAAAACATAATCATGAAGCCGTCGTGAGAGTCTCTGCGTCATAACAAAGCACGAACACCAAACATCCATGTCCACCCTACTTGTTAATCTAAATTGGCCGCGGCAGCTGGGAATCAAACTGAACGTGGCTGGGTTCATTTACGCAATTCGCTAACTGCTGCGGCACTGCCCCTGGGGTTTTCTCTCTCTCTCTCTCACTCTGGACTGAACAACATTATCCGTGCTCAATACGCGGTAGTCGCCGATCGCATCGGTAACCGCGTGCAATGTGACTTATCTGTAAATTCGTATCAGAAGGGGATAGCACGTTGGAACGGACCCGAGAAATCGTAACTCCGCACGCTTCAGAGACGGCGGAGCTGTGGAATTTTTTTAGTTTAAAGCTCGCAGAGCAAAAGCCACCTTCTGCTCACGGCTCCCACGCTCGCACAAAACTTTCACCGCCGTGTCGCGTTGCCCGCGCCGTCCTAATGTGCGTTTGGCCACAGGGTTGTATTTTTTTGAGCTGAAGATTTTAATCCCACCTTGTTCCAAATGAATGGTCGGAGTCAATGGGCGCAATTTATTTTATTAGAGGTAAAGCCGTCGGCCCTGACATTCGTTAGCTGTCCTTGACCCTCCAGAAACTACAACGAGAGATTAGCCAAGAGAAGGCATCCTGTACTTTTCCAACAAGAGGCTTTTTAGTGGCAATGCAGTCGTTTTATTGAGGAGCCCTCACAAACAGAATGTAGTGCTCACGTGACAAGAATGTGGGACCTCGAGACTATTACGAAATGGTAACAGCACACGACCAATTCACCCCGGAGTTGTTCGATCTGAACGGACCTCAGAAGATAAGCAGGTTTTGAGCCTGGTTTTTAATTGCATGTGAGACTGCCTGAAAATATCAGGCGTTGTATTTACGCTTGAACTATTTAGATAATTTTGCTGTTGTTAATGTCCAAATGATAAACCACTTTTTTGAGCTGTCATTTGTGGCCATGTCGCTTTTTTTAAAATAAGTTAATATTTCAGTGGGCTTTGTCTGGTAGGATGGGGATGGTTTCGTTCGATTTGTGTGTGTTTGGGGTGATTTGTTCACCTTTATTGTACGTTGTACTATTGTCATGTTTTTGTATTGTTTGTTGTAACGTTTTTACCCGCCTCGACTGGACATCTGTGAAAAGAGCTTCATAGCTCATCGGATTCCTCCAGTATAAATACATATTATGATTCTCATATAAGTAAATATTCTGAACTGCACGGTGACCAGTACAGCAATTAAATTATTCAATCTATCTTGATTTGAAGCTTTCGTGACTGCAGGAATCCATACTCTTTGGTTCTTTCGGTAAAGTCACGTAGGTAGAAAATAAAAGAAATCACGACGTTTCGGGCGCAACACAAGCGTTTTCTAATACCGCCTGGTATTATGTGGATTTATCTCAGGTTTCCTCCCACTCGAAGCCAGGCACTCATCAATGGAATAGGCAAACGTAGCAGGACCCTCCAGAAAACAAATGTCACATGACTAATAGCTATCAAAGCGATGTTAACCCCCACTTTAACCCACCAAACAATACCTATACACCGGCATCATGGAATGATATCGTGTGTGGCAGTACCGTACAGTATTGTACAGTGTGGGTTTATTTTGGCATACCGGTAATAAATAACCGACGTTATTAAATAAACACCCGATCATACCTGACATGAGTTATGATCTTGAAACTCTCTGTTTTTCCACTCGAGCACATGCACATACGGACATGAACAATACTGATCAGCACACCGTACGTAAGTAACATCTCTTTATTTAAATGATGTATGGTAGTTTCGTAACTTATGTATATTAAACAAGACGGGCGGGCTGAACACAACGTTTGCAAACCAGGTCTTGTCACACACACACTCCACCAGTGTGTGTGTCTGTGATCCGTTAAGAACCGGTGCCGTATATATTGTTTTTTTAATTGTGCACTCCCAATACAATAAATATGGGGTGAAACCGAGGCCTTATTTATTTCAGCCGGAGATGTCTGGGGCTGAGCTCTGGAAAATATTTTCCGCACCCCCCACACCCTCCCCTGTCCATGCCACTGATCATCTCACGGTGAAAAATCTGGGAAATCTACGAGGTCGATTTACCATGATTTCCATTGTGTAGATGGAGTGATGTCACCAATTGTGGGTAACCATCAGTATGCGTTTAACACGCCTGACCCTGCTGATGAACCACGCGAGTAAACCGGCTCGTGTGTAATTCGCTTACGGAACCGTGGCCTGGATTCAAACTCGGGTTTCCAGGTGCATTGCGGTGAGCGCTAATCACTGCAAGCATGGCTCGGTTGTCTTATGATTTCACTGCAATCATAATGCCCGGTAAATGTACTTTGAACCCAAGAAGACAGACACCTCTACATATGCATATGACCTTGAAGAGCGACACCAGTTAAAAACAGCTGTCCATTCTTGCGCACGAGTTATTTTCGGGCGATGGGGGTGATGAGGGTGCTCGACGGTGTTGTGTCGTGCGATTGGAGATGTCTCCCAGGCCGTATTGTGTGAGATTATCTGGGCGGCCCTGTTTGATCATGGGATTGCTTCTATAGGCTACACACGAGCCACGTTACACTGTCAACAATTGGCTGTTAAGTCAACAAGAGATGTGTGTGTGGCTGTCAGGTATAAGCGCTTTAATGAATGCAACTGCAGTATCGCAGGTGTTAATCATCATTCAGAAAAAAACCCAACATCGTGAATAGGAGAATCGTGATAACATGATGATCATTATCACCATGAGCAGCCAAGAGCCTCATAATAACGATCATTAAGACCATTAATTATCATCATCATCATCAAGTTCATCACTGTCATCATGATCATCATGAGTGGCAAATATAATCTTTGTTACCATGATGATGGTCATCACCAAAATGAAAAGCAAATGTAAATATCCAGACTCATGATCACCATCATTATCACCATCATCGAGAACAGCAAAGGTCATTATCGCGACAAACAGAGGTCATCGTCATGATGATCATGATCATCATCATTTGTCATCATCATCTTCATTGGGAGCATAAATCGTCATCTCCCTAGCGCACGTTAATTTAAATGGCACTTACATGGAACACTGGAAATAAAGAAACGACTCGAACCAATAAAACTCAATGACGCTAATCTTGTAATCCACCGCAAGCACAGACTCTGTACACAGTGTGTATATGTGTGTGTGTGTGACACGCGTGTGTGTGTGTAAATGAACCGTGCGTGAGGTCTATCGTTAAACCTTCTGAGTGGTGGGATCTCTCCTCTCTCGGTGTGCACTATTTGCATCGGTGGCCTATATTTTGACGACGATACCCAACCCCCGAACCAGATTTACCGCAGTAGGCGGTCCGGTTGGGGTTAAAGCACACCTGATGTCTTTTTAGATTCGTAAATAATGTGCAATCGAGTGCCTCGCACGTACACTTAGTGCGTAGTTGAACGATTCACATTTTGACGCCTACTCCCAGTCAATCTTCGTCGTACAAGCCACGTGTACATCCACTGGCGGCTGCTGCTGCTGCTGTCACAGCCCCAGTAGTCAACGTCAGTGGGGAGGTCGCTTCTTCTCCTGTGCTGCACCCCCCCCCCCCCACGGACCCCCCCCCCCCCCTGCCCGAAAACTTCCTCCCAGCAATCCATGCTGTCGACCCCTGCCTCTGTTCCAAGTCCAGGCTCAAGTCCTTGCTTGGCTCTTCTGCCTATGACTCACTACTCGTTCTCATATATATACACAGTATATATATAATATTTTGTACAGCCTCTTGACATGCGGTTGCGTTCATACGGAACTGATGTCCCACTGCCGCCTTCTTGGTAAGAAGACGTGAATCTCGAGAGTTGTTGTGTTTTGGAAATCCCGGTTAAATACAGATCTACAATAATGCTCCTTAAATCCGAACCGCAATTGTCACCGCCACCGCTGTGCGCTCGCTGATGTCCCACTGCCGCACGACGCCGCATCCGCCCGAGCCGCGTGCTTGCGGCCACGTGGCTCGCGAGGCCACGCGGGCTAGTAAATGTCGCCGAACGGCTTGGAGTAGTTGAACATGATGTAATCCAGGTAGTAAAAGTCGTAGGCGCGTTGCCTCTCCCGCCTCGACAGCGCCGACAGGTATCTGCGTCCCGTCGCCCGGCCGTCCTCGCCCGCGGCCACCGTCGCCGTCCCGCCTCCGTCTCCGGCGGTCGAACCCCTCCCGAGTTCCTCGTCCCGGTCGGCACGCTCGCCCGTGCCCGCGCGTTCCCCCGACGGAGGCGTCTGGGGAAACGCCGCGGCCTCCTCGGCTTCGGCCGGCACCTGCGCCGCCCGCGCCTCGCCTTCCCCGGGGAACGTGACGTCGTCCGGCACGCCGACGGCCCGGAGGAGGTCGTTGGCGTCCCCCTCCAGCTCCTCGAATTTGCCCACGAAGTCGTAGGAGATGGCGCACGGGTGGCAGAGGCGCGTCGCCGCCTCCCAGTGGATGTCCATGCCGAGGGGGCGCCGCGGGTCCAGCAGGTAGCGCAGGAACTCGCGGAAGGTCACGCCCTCGCCCGAGCGCAGGGCCTCGCGGCTCGCGTTGGCGCGGTAGCGGGCGAGGATGGCGCGGCCGAACAGCGGCTGGTAGTAGGGGTTGGGGCGCTCGAGTTTGTCGCGGAAGGCGGAGACGAGGCGCTCCAGCGGCTCGCGCACGAAGAGGACCTGCCGCGGAGAAGCGGCGGCAGCGGCGGAGGAGCCAGAAGCGGCGGAAGCGACATCAGCAGCAGCAGCAGCATGAGACCCAGGAGCAGTGGAAGCGGCAGTAGGAGACGCAAATAGAAGGAGCAGTAGCAGAGCCAGAAGCAGCAGATGCAACATCAGCAGCAGCGGCGGCAAGAGATGCAGCAGCAAATGATGAATTGACAATTAATTCAGGGCATCAACAACGATAACGCTGATCAATAAGTTAATCGCCATTACACCTTCGACAACAATCACATTTACTTCATATGTGGTTATCCAACTCTTATTATCCATTCTATCTGGCCACTCTACATGCTTCGAAGAAGGGGCATTGCCTATAATATATTTACAACGTTAAGGCCACACAGTCTTATTGACTGACGTATTGAGCTTTTTAGTTGTTTAATGTGAATGGTGTTTGTGCACACACCGCTGCCATCGCTGCAGCAGCATCAGCAGCATCACCAAAAGTTCGTATCCGTGGAAGTGAGTCACTCAACAAACAATTCGTTGGCCGGTGTGGGATGCTGCTAAGGTCCAGACCAGGGGTTGGCAAACCCGCGGCTCCGGAGTCGCCGTGCGGCTCTTTAAGGACCGCTCCGTGACGTTGTTTAGTAAGGGCCGCCTTTCTCGTGTTCACCACGCAGTGCGTTTGCGGCTCTTGAAATAGTGAGTTACCGGCCCTCGCATACAATCTGTCAGATTTTTGCGTTCCGTTCCCAATAAAATGCGCCGCGGTGGCTAGGAAATGTTAACTCCCTCGCCTGGTATGCAAGAGGTTGTGGGTTCGATCCCGACCCTGACGCCTGCATATCTGGACCATAATAGAGGTTTTTTTTTTGGTCATATTGGTCGCGATAGCCTACGTCTTAAACTGCATTTTTGGAGTTTGCGTGTCTCTCTCCCCGTGGTCACGTGGATTTTTTTCTCCTGGTCCTCCAGTTTTTCTCCTCAACATTTAGAATCAACATCACGCGTTTACATTATTCGGCTGCCAAAAATTGTCCAGGCGACGAGCCACTTCGTTGAGCTATTATTTGTGAGAGCCAGGTCGCTCCTGAAAAAGAGCCACACAGCTAAGTGGGCCTTACCTGGTCAAATAAACAGAAAACATTGATCATGGGACCTCCTTTGCCAGTACCAAAATATACTAATAGGGGTTTCCCCTTTTTTCTGGGAACAAAACTGACACCTTTTGCAAGGAATCATGCTTACATTAACCACACTACTTGCAGTCAAATGCAAACAAAAAACAATACTCTGATAATGTATGCATTGTCTTTGAAATCAGTTTGAAATCAGTTTCAAAGACAATGCATCAATTATCAGAGTTTTTTTGCATTTGACTGCAAGTATTCTGGTTAATGTAAGCATGATTCCTTGCAAAAGGTGTCAGTTTTGTTGCCAGAAAAAATGGGAAAACCCTATTAGAAAACATTGAATCGTCACTTTTCAGAATCTCAGCACGAGAGACGGACAGCCTCGTCGCGACCGACGTCCGCTTCTCTCGCCCCCCCGCCCCCCACGAGCGCCGCCCCCCACCCACCTTGGTGTAAGTTGCGAGCCGCCGCTCCATCTCGGCGCGCCCGAAGCTGTCGAGCCTCCGCAGGCCGTTGGCGTAGTGCGCCGCGTCGTGTGCCACCTCCCCGGCCCTGCGCGCCGCTCCGCTCAGCACCATGAGCAACCGCTTCCAGTTGGTGCAGCCCACCTTGGGCACCTCGCAGTAGAGCAGGCGGTAGCGGTCCTCCACGTAAAGGCGTGACACCTGGCGCGGAGACACGGGGGCCGCAGTGCCGCTACCCGCGCCACCCCCGCCGCCGCCGACGCCGTAGCGCGCGCACAGCTGCGCGATCTGCGCCCTGCGCGCCACCTGCGCCTGCGCCGCCGCCTCCGGCAGGGCGGAGAGGTCGAGGCGAGGGTCCCGCTGGAAGTCGGGGCCGACTTGGCGCGACGGCGGTGACGGTGGAGGCGGTGACGACGACGATGACCGCGGAGAGCCGTGAGGCCTGAACGCCGCGTGGTTGAGAATGGAGGCCGTGGAGGTGGTTGTTGTGGTGGTGGTCGAAGAGGTTGCGTGGTTGCGTGACATTGCTGCCGCCGCCACCGCCGCCGCCACTGCTTCGTTGTCGAAGAGGCGCGATGGATGAGCTGCCGACGAGAAGACCGAGGAGGAGGAGGATGAGTTGACGGTTCCAAGTTCTCGGTTGAGGAGCTGCCGCTTCTGCGCCGCCGCGTTCACGGCCACTCGGGCCTCGGGGGGAGAGAGGGCGGCCGAGGAGCGAGCGGGGAGGCGATCGCCCTCCTGCGAATCCTGCAGACGTGAGAGAGGCGGCAGAGACTCGTCATCGTCATGGTGGCCCTCGTCGTCCTCATCAATGTCATCATCATCATCATCCAATCATGATAATTATTCACTTTCATTATGGTCAGTGATCACCGTAGTCATCATCATCATCATCATTCGGTCCTATCATCGCCGTCATCGTCATCATTCAATCATTTATGATCAAAGTTGTTCGATCACAATCGTTCATAGTCACCCAAACATCAGCTTTCAGTCATTCAACTTCATCCTCATCATCATCGCCGTCGTCACAGAAGAAGGTGACCGCATCTCGCACTTTCAGATGCGTTCCTGTGGCCATCTGAAACGCTCTTTCTGCTGATATTAGAAAGCCATTGGAGCTAATCGCACTTTTAAATCATCAAAATTTAAACCAATTTCTTTAGAAAGGCTTTTGGTGTTTAATTTGTTGTCTTTCCCCCGCACCTCCGATTGGCACGGTTGGCTACGCACGGTGCGAAATAAGTTCAACATACAGGCATACATACATCGCATCGTGATGCAATAGAAACCTTCACAGCGCCTTGTTGCGCGTAAATCTGTGCCGCCCACCAATATGAGACGACACGAGGCTTTTGACGAAATCACGGATGTGAAAATAGACTGCGCGCGTGAATAACCAATAACCCTCTCACAATTCTAAATTGGGAAGGGAATGCGCAAAGTCATGAGAGCCAGCACACGCTGTGCCCAATGAATCTTGACGGCGAGACTCGATGTAATCATTCAACTGCAGAACAATACGCACGCAATTCAACATTGCATATACATGTGCGTGAAAACATACATTCAATCGCTGCTGAATGTGGGCTTACCCACGCCATGTCAGTCGTGGGGATTGTTTGACCACACTTCGCTATACGCTGGTCAGTGCAGGTTGGTGATGTAGGCATGGCAGCGTTCACCCACCACTGATGTCACCACAGCCAGGAATATAACTCAGGGGGCCGGTTCATAGTGTCATGTTGGTAAGGTGAACCACCGTTACAAGGTCCTCCTAAATTGTCCTTGTATTGTGAATCCTCTGTGCAGTTGCATTCACTACAAATCCCATCCATTACTCATTCCCAAATAATGACTATTCCCATACATTACACATTCCCATTAATGGCACATTCCCATTAATTACTCATTCCCTACAAAACCGCCACTGCTTTTGGGGTGAGACTAACTATGGAGCGGCAGCCAAAGGAGGGCACAGAGAGAAATAAAACACCCCGTTACAATTTCAATACGTGGCCAATAACGGTGAATTATTTGATTACCGCTTGACATGTGTGGAGTTTCGATTTAAAGCTTTCGTGATTGCAGGGATTCATCTTCTTTGTTCTTTCGGTAAAGTCACGTAGAAGGGAAATAATAAAATAATTTAAATAAAGTATAATAAAATAATTCTCACGACGTTTCGGCCACAACGCAAGCAGCCGTCCTCAGGTGAAGACGCTGTCTTTCCGGTAGACCTGTTCTTCACCTGAGGATGGCTGCTTGCGTTGTGGCCGAAACGTCGTGAGAATTATTTTATTATGTTTCATTTTTATTATTTTATTATTTCGCTTCTACGTGACTTTAGCGAAAGAACCAAGAAGATGTGTGGAGTTGTAAAAGAATGAACTCGAATTCGCCGTGTGAAATGAATGATCACAGCCAACGTTGTGCCACATTAAGCGGCACCGATTTCTGCTCCGGCCCACGGGCTAATTGTTCACCCGCTGCTTGGCGAAAATTCCTACCCACGCTGCATCAAGCACGGGGCACTTACACCATTGGAACATCATTTGCCAGTAAAAATATGATAATTGTTTTTTTACCCTTCTATCTGGCAACAAAACTGACACCTTTTTTACAAGGAGTCATGTTTACATAGACCACAATACCTGCAGTCATAATGCAAACAAAAAACATAACTCTACTAATGTGCACTGTCCTTGAAGTTGATTGTTCCAATCAATAATGTTCACTGTCCTTGAAGTTGATAAAAAAAAACAATTATCACGGGGCACTTGTTCGACCATACTTCACCACGCTGGTCGGGTTGAGTTGATGAAGCGGTGGGGGCAGAGTGGGAAGTTGCGGGGGGGGGGGGGGGGGGGAATGTGATGGAATCGGTTGCAGCCGTGGCAGGGAATCGAACTCAGGTTTGCTGGCTTCATCTGTGACCGCAGGGCCGCTTATCGCTGCAAGCACCGCTTCTCGCGCTTACCGCCACCTCAATTTACCCATCAACATTTCGAGCAGCCGCTGTTGTTTATCGACATTCCTCGCCTCGAGAGAGCAATCTAGCCGGCTGCTATTTATTTATCCCCCCCCCCCCATGCCGCTCTCTCTCGCCTCTCTCTCTCTCCTCCACCTCGCCACGTGCAGCCACGGCCGCACGGCCGCTGCTGCTCTGCTGTAGTACACACAGCTGCTGCTGCTTCGTGTATGACTCCTGAAACTGCAGTTGGGTCGGCTGCAGCTGCTACAGCAGCTACAACAACAACAACAGCAGCTGCAACAACAACAACAACAGCAGCTGCAGCAACAGCAGCTGCAGCAACAGCAGCTGCAGCAACAGCAGCAGCAGCTGCAGCAGCAACAGCAGCAGCTGCAGCAGCAACAGCAGCAGCTGCAGCAGCAACAGCAGCAGCTGCAGCAGCAACAGCAGCAGCTGCAGCAGCAACAGCAGCAGCAGCAACAACAGCAGCAGCAGCTGCAGCAACAACAGCAGCTGCAGCAACTGCAGCAACAACAGCAGCTGCTGCAGCAGCAACAACAGCAGCAGCTACAACAACAACAACAGCAGCTGCAACAACAGCAGCAGCAGCTGCAGCAACAACAGCAGCTGCAGCAACAACAGCAGCAGCTGCAGCAGCAACAGCAGCAGCTGCAGCAGCAACAGCAGCAGCAGCAGCTGCAGCAACAACAGCAGCAGCTGCAGCAGCAACAGCAGCAGCAGCTGCAGCAACAGCAGCAGCAGCTGCAGCAACAGCAGCAGCAGCTGCAGCAACAGCAGCAGCTGCAGCAACAACAGCAGCTGCAGCAACAACAGCAGCAGCAGCAACAGCAGCAGCTGCAGCAGCAGCAACAGCAGCAGCAGCAGCAGCAGCTGCAGCAACAACAGCAGCAGCTGCAGCAACAACAGCAGCAGCTGCAGCAACAGCAGCAGCTGCAGCAACAACAGCAGCTGCAGCAACAACAGCAGCAGCTGCAGCAGCAACAGCAGCAGCTGCAGCAACAGCAGCAGCTGCAGCAGCAACAGCAGCAGCTGCAGCAGCAACAGCAGCAGCTGCAGCAGCAACAGCAGCAGCTGCAGCAACAACAGCAGCAGCTGCAGCAACAGCAGCAGCAGCAACAACAGCAGCAGCTGCAGCAACAACAGCAGCAGCTGCAGCAACAACAGCAGCTGCAGCAACAACAGCAGCAGCTGCAGCAACAACAGCAGCTGCAGCAACAACAGCAGCAGCTGCAGCAGCAACAGCAGCAGCTGCAACAACAACAGCAGCAGCAGCTGCAGCAACAACAGCAGCTGCAACAACAACAGCAGCGGCAACAACAACAGCAGCAAGATGGCGGCGGCGTGTGCGGCCACGTGTGCGTTGTGCTGCATGGGTGTGGGCTGTGCGTGAGAGTGGGTGAGGGTGAGCTGCGTGTGAGTGAGCTGTGTGTGTGTTTAAATTTAGTGTTTTAAAGATGTCAATTCACCTGCTGTGTATCTTACTACTGTCCCTCCCGGCCATATCTAGTGCCACACTCAACTCTACAAATGGCTACCCGCGTTACTTCGCGTCAATACTTATTGCTAAATTTGCAACTACACCTGCTAATGAAACAACTTATAGACACTTCTACACTCCATCATTATATCCTTTTAAACCCTATCTTTGTCCCATTACTTCACCAGCACTCCTTCCAAACTTCATTCTGCTCTTAAAAATAACACCATCTGCGAGCTGCTGCTATTCGTCCAAGGTTCGTCGCTCTTCATCCTTTCACAGAAAATACCTGTGCAAACTATTAATTCTACTTTTCTTATTTCTGGGTGGTATTGAGCTTCATCCTGGACCAAATGTAAAGAACTCATATAATTCTGTAGATTTTTCTGGCAGAAAAGGTGTTGGTGTTCTACATGTCAACATCAGAGGGCTTTTGATTAAATTAAGTCAACTAAAACTAGAAGTAGCAAATCTTGACCCGGACATATTTTGCCTAACAGAAACATTTCTCACTCCTGCCGTCAATGACTTGCAGATTACGATTGACAACTACAATCTTTTTCGGCTTGACCGAGGATCTAAAGGAGGTGGAATTGCCATCTATGTTCGTAATACTATTGCATGTTCACCAGCTCACTCCTTGTTTAAAAAATGTTGCTTTGAAGGTCTGGCTCTCAGAATAACTCTCCCTAATAATCAACACATATTGGTAGTGTGCTGCTATAGACCGCCTAGTGGGAAGGATGTTGAAGCTGCATCTGCACTGAGAGAGCTTCTTGGGGGCCTCCCTAAAGGTGAAATAGTTTTAGTGGGTGATCTAAATTGGAATTGGCTAAACCCGCCGGCCGTGGCCACAAATTTTGCAGATGAATTTAACCTGTTTCAATTAATAAATGTCCCCACAAGACCCAACCTAAAAAATCCGGGACAGTCATCTCTGCTTGACGTCCTATTGACAAATGCCCCTCACAATTTCGCACTGACTGGTGTTCTAGGTAATAACCTTAGTGATCACTCCTTCATTTTTGGGGTGAGATCATCAGCCAGACCCAAAGCCCCCCCTAAATTGGTTGAGAAGCACTCCATGAGACACTTCAGCACTCAGGCATTTACTAATGATGTGCTTCACTCGGATATTGACAAGGTCTGTGATATTCCAAACCTGACTACGGCTTGGGAGACCTTCAGGTACACGTTTCTCCAAATTCTTAACAAACATGCTCCGTTGGTTAAATTTAAAACTAAAGGCAACCGTCCACCATGGTTTGATCCTGT